TAATGACTTCTGGATATAAAACGGAGTTCTTTTTATTAAAAACTGCATAGTGTCCGTTACGAAAAACGAGATTGTATTTCAATGCCTCAAGTCGTGAACAATGGGACGCTGTAGCTAGGCTTAAAGTTTTATTGAAATTTTTTTTTATGCCAATCATTTTTAGACAGCGTTAGCAGACTGTTATTTCCGTGGTTGCTCAGTTGTTTGTTACAAGCGTTGATGCTTTACTGATATATTTACTGAATAGAAGAAATAACTTCTAAAATCGATTTGATAGAGATGGGATGCGGGATGAAATTAGATCCGCTAACGAAATTGGAAATAAAACTGAACTCGAATTCGAAGCGAAATTGGGAGTGGAATCGGAATTAAAAGTGGAAATTGAATTGAGGAGTTGAGATTTCACCACTGCGTTGAAATTTTCTTTTTTTATGAAACAACACCTTGACTTACTCTAGACCTATTTTCTGTTTTAGTACCATAATTGTGTACTTGCATGTACTAAAACAATTAGAATCAACTGAATCGCTTCCGCTCACAGTAACCCTTTTCCGTCAATCGTGCGAAAAATCCAGCCAATAGCCTTCTTGTTACAAACATCTGGGTACTTGAAAGTTACAGATTCCATACGACGGGCTGACAGAATTCAGGATCTTCACTTTGATAGCGCAGCAAGGTGTATCGCTGGTGATTATCGATGAATGCCCAGCTGCTCTAGCTGAGTATGTTTTCCTGTCCGCGTTTAGAGTTAACATGCTCGAAATGTAGTACTTATCGTGAATTCCCACAAAAACTTGTTTCGGTCCCTTGAACAGCTGCCATTTCATCATTTTACCTCTTTCCCACTTCCTAGTCGACAGGGCATTTCATCTTGCGCTAAGAGGGATAGCAAGACGGACAAGACAGTGCTAGCCAGCGTACGATTACGATGAGATACCATTCTGATAAGAAGATCCACAGGTCATTGACAAAACAAAATTTTGTGCTTTTTCTTTTACCAGTCACCCTGAAATGCAGCTTTGAACTGATTACTTTGCAGAAGAGTTCTTTCAAGCAACTCTTTTTGGATTAAATTTTTTGCAGCTTAATGAAGAACTGTTGGAAGCCAAAACCTGAAGAACGCTTCGGCATGAAACAAGTTCTAGCAGTTCTGGAAGCCGTCCACGAAGACAGCGATTTCAGCACTCAGTGTGAGCTATTCATGGCGCATAAACAGGAATGGAGGAGTGAAATTGAGAAACAGCGCAAAGAACTCGAGGCAGGTGTTTTTGGGCAACCGTATCCCCTCCTCCCCCCCTCCTCCACTCTCCTCTTCCCCGTTCCTCTTCTCTTCCTTCCCCTCTCTCCACCCCTCCCGTTCCGCCTTCATTGCTTCTAAAACATTCGTCTAAAAGAAAAGCTTATGTATTTTTCGGCCACTTTTTCTTTTGCGGTGGATCTTTGCTTTCTTTTTTTTAAACTTTCTAGGAACTGAAAATTGATTATGCGAAAAGATTGCGGGAGCTGGATGAGCGTGAGGATGCACTAAAAATGCGCGAGGGAAGCCAGCTAACGCCGAGTCCAGGCACTGCGGCACTTCTGGAAGACGTGTATGAGTGGAAAGAAAACCAGGTCAGCCAGTGGATTCGGCACGTCGGTCCCAAGCTGTGTCAGTCCTTCAAAAACACTTCAACTGCCTTGGAAACATTGAACTTACTGATGTCTGATAGGACGCAAGATTACAGTACTGATAGATCTATAAAGCTAACTGAGTCGTTGTCATTTGTTTCGCAAATTTTCAACACTATACAAGCAAGTTCTAGTCTAAATTTTTCGCAAATTTTTCCTTAGCGTTGATATCTCATCCTTTAACGCTAACTGGAGGTAAATGAAGTTGAGGACTGAAGGCCCAGAAATAGCTGCATTCAGCGTGTGGGAAAATCCCAGCAACGTCAATAGTAAGGCATATACACACTGACTATCTAGAATAGCCTTAATGTACTTTATATTTCGTTCTTTAAACATGACATTTTTTATGCGTTTTTGCTGTGCAGCGCTATAGCAGCGCTGTCTGTGTGTGTGTTCGCAATGCGAGTGCATTTTGTCACCCACTTTCAACTCGGCAACCAGGA